GTCTCAGAAGATACACCCATACTTTCCTTTACCCAGAGAACACCACAAGCCTTCCTGGAATCCAAGAAAGGTTTACCGGAGGGGGCAATTGAATATTTCCCTGACTGAGAGCTCTGCCAGACATTCTGAGTAGACTCAAAGTAATAATTTTGGCTTGCCAAGCCTTCGAACATACGCTACTCACCACCAGGACAACCGCCACTCTCTAAACCAGGTGTCCGAGACATGCGGCTAAAGCCCGGGTCGCACTGGTTGTGTCCAACTTTTTAATCTCTGATACAATTTCTCCATGCCACACTGATTCCAGTCCATATAAATATTCTTTTAGTACTCATAGAGCAGATCATAAAGTGTGCGATTTGCCCCACGAATTGAAACAATGTCTCACGTTTGAATGGGATAAAAAAAAAAAAGCCAGTGCAAATACAAAGCAACGCCCCTTTTGATAACCATCATACACAGCATACCCCTAAACCAGAACAGATAGAGAATTTTGATATAAAAGTAGAATTGAAAGTATGTTAAAAGAGAAGAGAAACACAGCAATAAATGCTCTGGGATGGTTTTCAGGTAGGCTACTTTGACTACTACCATTGACTGATGGATGAGGCAGTAAGAGGGGATTCCCAGAGAGCGATATGTAAAGTTTGTCAAAGTCTTTTTTTTTTTTTTTGTTAAGAGTGATAAGCTGATGAGCAAAATTTGACTTTATCCATTTTTGGCCATCCTGTTTAGGTATGAGTCCGGCCCTCCTGCTCCATATGATCTGTGCAACTAAAAACCTAAATGTTTTCCCATGTAACTGACAGATTTTATTTTATATTTCCCAGAAAGCGGATGTGTTTTATGCATCTCTCTTCCTATCAGACTTATGAAATTGCCACCTAATTGCTGCGTAGTCCAACTAAAATAGATCTGGGGTCTATCTCACTCATGCAAACCCCGTTTCAGAAAATGGTGTCAGGTGTGTTCATCCACATTGAATTCAACAAGCGCTAAACACAACCTTGTATGACATGATTTTCTGTTGAATCGGATACAAAACTGGATCCAGTGTTATTCAGGGCTAGAGATGCACGATATATATCGGTCACCTAAACTATCGGGCCGATTTGGGCTTATTTTCTATCGGCCCGATAGCCATATTTTCCCGATAAAATAGCCGATAATTTAATAAAAACGCGGAAACTGCGTTCAAGAGTAACGACTTTTATTTTGAAGACACAAGCCATGACGCGCAGTGGCACGTCACATCCAATGCATGCAGCCAGTGAGTGGGGAAGTAGACAAACATGCCTTCACCAGTATGGTCGTTCTTCACAGTGGCAGAAAATGACAATACTTTCGCTATATGCAACGCCTGTTCATTGCGGATTCCGAGAGGAGGAAAAAGGTCGTCAAGCTTTAACACAAGTAATCTTATATCTCACCTGAAAAGTCGGCACCGCGGCGAAGAGGTATTAAAAGAGTATGAGGCAGCGGCTGCAGCGGCTGCAGCAGCTAGCACAAGCAGTGAAACCAATGCAGTAACTAAAGGAAGAAAATCCGATGTTACCATTCTGGAGTCTTTTGAAAAAAGTAGACCCTTTGCGAGAGACAGTGAAAAGACCAAAGCCATTAACGGCAAAATAATGAAGTTCATTGCACTCGGCGACCAGCCTTTCTCCGTGGTCGAAGAGCCATCTTTTCGTAGCCTGTTGGCACACTTGGAGCCACGCTACACTCTTCCAAGCC